AAAAGACAAAATATGTTAAAAAATCAATAAAAAAAATATCATATCCAAACTATAATCATCATTTTTTTTTTTTTTACAAAAGTCAAAAAAGCCAAAAAGCTCATCTCAAATGAAACTTTTTAGCCCAAGTTAAAAAAATCAAAAAGTCAACTCACATCTCAAACGAAGGCTTAGTGAACAAAGTTGGAGTATGCTTTTTTTATCCGAAAAACTATGTTTGACCAGTTTTTTTACGAGGAAGTATCGCACAACCCAATATTTTCCAACTTCTTCTTGTTCCTAGGTATGGTGGAGTATACTTTTTGAGGATAACGCTTTGCAACTTCAATTAAGATGGCAAATGGGTATCAGTCATTCGATTCTATTTGGTAGGACTTTTAAAAATCAATAATATTTGAGATCTCTAATAGAACTCTAATAATGTGGAGAGTACCCATGTGATATAGGGGTTCACACTCTTCTCTCTATCTCTCTCTACTCTCTCTCTTTTCCACCTCATTAAAGCTCCTGTTAGAGCTACAATTTTAGAGTTACGTATCACTACTTATTTCCCTTTGTGGGTATCATAATTGTTCATCTTGCTCAATCCTTGGCCTTTTCTTTCTACATCTTCTACCATTCTTGCTCTTCTTCTAATTCTTGTTCCCCTGTTGTTCTACTTAGTTTTTAGTTTATTACTCTCTCTCTCTCTCTCTGTCTCTCGAGTTTTGCACCTCATCTTGTCTTTCAATCTTGCAGTAGTGCAATTAACAAATCCTCTCTTATGGGGGGCCTTGGAGCTAAGATTGTTCTTTGAAAATAGGCCTATCGGTTCCTTCTTATGGCTCTCTCCATCCTGTGCCTTTATTTTTGGCTTTTATCACTGCCTTGAGGTGGACAGAAGCTAATCATTTTATTCATTTTACATATCTTTGCTAATGATTTGTGTTTGCTTGGTCAGTTGACAGGGGTTTGAACTCTAAAGCCTAATACCCTGTTTGGTTGATTGGAATAAGAGAATGAAATGAAAGATAATTCTTTAAACTTTCTTATAAAATGATCATTTTCTTAAAATGATAAAAGACGATTTCATTTGTAATGCATTTGTTATTATTTTTGTAATCTAACTAAACATTTAAACGAATATTTTGATAAAAAGATCATTTCATTGCACTTTATTCCAATAAACCAAACACTACAAGATTTTACATTTATACACAGCGCCGATTGCTTTTTGACATTTGTTGCTTAGCCCAGGGTTTCATTGTCCTTAGAGAACATGTTTTTGTTGGCATAAAAGTACAGGAAAATTATTAAATAGTCCATGATAGAAACCTTCAAAAAAAAAAAAAAAAAAAACGCTCCGATCTCATCGTTTGCTGGAAGTTTGTAATAACAAAAATTAAAAGCACTGCACAATAGTGACTGGATAGTCTGTAAAAGCAGTAACAGAAATATTTTGGTTTAATATGGATACGATGCAATACATCATAAAACTCCTCCAGTCAAGTATATTGTGGAGGAAGGCATAGCAGTGGTGGAGGGCGCTAGAACTAGAAACTTACAGCTAAATAGGAAAAGCATCGGTAGTACTCAGGGTACAAGTTGACAACAAGAGGTATTTCTTCATTCAGCTTTCCACGAGGACAATGGTGGAGTTTCTGAGTTGATCCATGTCATTGACATAAAGGCATGTCTCTCACCCTTGACCACATCGGCTGAGGCATAGGATTCGAGTTCAGCCATTTCTTTTGGGGTTAGCTTTACAGACAATGCACCAATGTTCTGGTTCAAGTTTGCTATCTTGGTGGTCCCGGGGATGGGAACCACGTCGTTTCCACAGTGATGGACCCATGCCAATGCCAGCTGTGATGGGGTGCAGCCCTTCTTTGCAGCCATTTCATTGACCCGCTCAAATATCTTTTGATTATGCTCGAGATTTTCAGGTTTGAATCTTGGAAAATTCTACACAAGAAATACATGTCTTGGCATTACAACTATAAATCCACGAAACAGAAGGACCTAAGAAGTACGCATTCTTTGACATATTTTGCTATAAAAATAAATCACAATCCTATTTGGTCATATACGTGGGTTATTTGTGAACAAATTCCTGAGTAACAATCATGAGGCTTGTTTGGTTGGACGATTTGATGAGAAAAATAGAAAAAGAAAAAGAAAAACAATCTCACTTTTTGTTTGGTTGTATGAAAAACACATGGAATAAGAAAAACGAGAGGGAAATGCAATCCCACTTTTTGTCATTTGGGTTCACTTATGCTGTGTTTAGTTGGAAGATTTGGGAACAAATTTGGAAATGAAAAGGGAAAAGATGTGTGAAACTGTGTGAAATATAAGTATATTTTATTCACATTTCTAGTGGACACGTGGGTGTAAATTCTTGTACTCATACCAGTATACATGTATACTGACCCGTTTTGTTTCTTGGCAACTCGGGTGCGTTCTATTTGAGCGCAGCTGAGCTTCCTTTGCAGGGTTAGTTAAGGCTACGATGGTGACGAGAAGTAACTAAAGTTTTTGGGCATATCTCTTTGATTTCTTTTGTTTTTTTTTTGAGTTTAGGGTTGTTAGTAGTTTATGTATTTATTATTATTATTATTTTTATGACTTTAGTATTAGAATAATTTGGCATGGTTTGTAACCGTACTTTATTTAAGTTGTTTTGACTGGTTGTTGCTACCTTAATGTTGAGGTATTTGTTAGTTATGAATTTATGGTGGATGGTTTTGGTTATTGTAGTTTTTTTTTGTTTCACTCCCAGAATTTGGATGATAGAATATCGATTGGGGTTTAGCACTAATTTAATATTTTATTGTCCGAATTTTGGGGCGTGACAGTTTGGTATTCGCTGTTTTACTTATTTATTTATTTTTATTTGTTTGATGTTAGTTTGATTTTGTTTTACATAAAGATGATAGATTAATTTTAATTATTTTGATTAGTTGTGGATATAAGATTTAGGGTTCTTAGATAAGTGATTAATTTTAATTACTTTGATTTGTTGTGTAGGTAAACTTTAAGGATTTTTAGATGATTAATTGATTGTAATAATTTTAATTAGTTTGGTAGGTAAGGTTTGGGATTTTTTTTTTTAGATGATTGATTAATTTTAATTATGTTGATTAGATGTATATGTAAGGTTTAGGATTTTTAGATGATTGATTAATTTTAATTATGTTGATTAGATGCATATGTAAGGTTTAAGATTTTAGATAATTAATTAATTGTAATTATTTCAATTAGTTGGATATGTAACGGTCAGAATTTTTAAACGATTGACTAATTTTTTAATTATTTACATTAGACGTGTATGTAAGGTTTAGAGTTTTTTTTTGGATGATTGATTGATTTTAATTATTTGCATTAGTTGGGTATGCAAGGTGTAAGGTTTTATTTTGGGTGACTTTATTAATTCTTTAAGTGATTCTTTGATCTTCAAAAATAATTTTGAGTACAAAATCCACTTCCCTTGATTTATATTTAATTCTTCGTTTTTATTTATTTATTTGATATTAGTCTGATTTTGTATTCACACAAAGATGATAGATTGATTTTAATTGTTTTGACTAGTGGTCTATGTAAAGTTTAGGGTTTATAGATGATTGATTGATTTCAATTGTTTTGATTGGTTGTTTATGTATGGTTTAAGGTTTTTAGATGATTGATTGATTTTAATTATTTTGATTAGTTGCATATGTAAAGTTTAGGGTTCGTAGATAAGTAACAGCACTGTACCGGAGATCGCGATAAATGCTGATGGATAAAGATGACTGAGATGATCAAAATGGACAGAGTTGATCGGGGAAAAGTTTACGGCTGAACTTTAGGGTGAAGCTGCCTACATATCCC